AGTAGGAATATATGTTTGGTTTCCTCAGCTGAACCCGGTGAGAGTTTCCTCACTATTTATAGAAGTCTATAGCAACCAACGAGAATCTATCAAGATTCCCTCAGAATTTCCATATTGTCACCAAAGCATGTAGTTGATTATGTGCACATTTTCCCACACTAGCTGCACAAGAAACCCGTCGCGATAACTACAGCTCCTGTGCTTGTAAGAACAGCTTCGCCCGATCCTCTGGGAGTCTCTTCCAGGCTAGCTCCATCTCCACCAATTGTGACTGAAGCAAAAATGCGGCATGCCGGGATCGAACCTGGGACCTCGGCGTAGCAAGCTCACCTGCAAAAATGAGAACTCGTTTCTCGCCTTTTCTAAACAGGTCTTCATCGACCCCGCAGACAGACTCGAGAGATTTATATCCGTCCTAAAGAAATGATCTGACCCGGGATCGATCCCTGGGTCCTCCACTTTGCCAGCCCCTGCACTTTCCTGTCAATTTGATGCACATTAGCCCTCTCATGCCGAACCTGACTCTTCCGCCTCTCCAAGTCCCCCCGTCTGGCCGCAACATCTGATCACAACAACCATACCCTCCACCCGACACTTCATACCGCACCTTTCTCAATAATTCGCCGCCTGAGGGACTCCTTGCCAGAAACCTCACGTTCGCTCGCTCGCTTTATAGCAACCTCCTGCAAGGAGAAAAAACGTCCCCCGACCATATGGTAGAAATGCACCACCGCTTCGATACGAGCCTGGCATTCGGTGAATTGTCGCCGGGCTTCGACTTTCTCCTTCTTGGCAACCTCGAGCTCCTTTCCGAGATACTCACAACGCTCCTCGAGCCTCCTGATATTATCTAAAATGCCATCACTAGCATTCGAACCCGCAATCTTACGGATGATAGCACAGATTCTTACCACTGAGCCGCGGCTCCACAGCCAACACCGATTCTATCCGTCGGTTCACCTTCTCTGTTTGCTCATGGCATCTAACAGACCATCTCAAACCAGCAACGTAAAGGCAGGCAAAACATTACCGTATATTCGTTTGCTTCAAATCGTCGAAGGTCTTCTCACACCGCAACCGCGTGAGGGCGTCTTGCTCCAGAATTTTCTCATGACCTGACTCATACAGTGTGAACCAAACCGTTATGCAAGGCAATATTTTCCAATTTTTGAGAGTTCGGAAGTCAACTTTGAGTAATATCAACATGATAACACTGTGAATCGATCGACACCAACGTTTTAGAAGCGTTACGTAGTCTACAACCATAATCTCTAATTGAAGAAAATCTAGATATGCATAACTGTTTGGTCGCCAGATCACGATTCGGAAAATAGCATACTCTTCCTTTCAGCCGCCAAATGAGTTTCCTTCATATTCACCACCTCAGCCAGGGATATACCTGATAACCAACACCATCGTCACCGCGCCACGAAATTGACCTTCTCACTTCTCCTAGTGATGTCACCTGGTCGTATCACGGGGTTGCTGGGCAGAAAGTACTCCCGAGGCGGTGATAGGTGGAAATCATTGTAGCGGACCGACGTAGTCATAAATGTACTCCAACACTGACTGCTGCTCCAAAACGCCTCGGAATTTTTCACTGCGCCACGAAAATCCTCGCTACGCCCCCGAGTCGTTCAACAACAAAATCCAATTCTATGGTCAGTTCTAGAACTCATTCTAGGAACGTCCTT